CACAAACACACACACACTCTCTCTCTCTCTCTCACACACACACACACACACACACACACACACACACACACACAGAGTGTTGTTGAAAGGTTAAGATCAATTTGAATCTTGATGCATATCCCATAATTGCAAAACTTGGCTGTCTCTTGGCGACATTAACCAAGGCTACAAGGTTCTCTGCTCCAGTCGATAAAAAGAGGAAAACAAACATCATTTAAAAAGCTCTACGCTTCAAATCACAAACCGACAAATAACGACGGACAATGTCATTCAGGATCCAACATCAGGACGGCCCAGCACGGCACAGTCTTACACACATCTTCAGGACAAATGCCACGTGTCGTTAGCGATGTTCGCGGGCGATGCACAGATTTTAATTGTGATTTTAAAAGTGTTTTCCAGTTTATCCTATAGAGAGCTCAGCAAGCTTTCCATGCATGTGCAGGAACGTATCCGGAGTGGTTCACGCTTTTAAGAATTAGTTTCCATTCCAAAACAACTCTATTAGAAAGAACTAAAAGAAACCAGAAAGCCTCAAAATCATTCATGTGTTTAAAATCAGTCAATACTTTGTCATCATACAGGTTTAATATATATATATATATATATATATTTACAGGTAAAGAGACCCTCTGAGTTGGTGGACATCTTTGTATACTGATGGTTCATTTGCAGGATGAAGCGTTTATAATGATAGTTGGGAGCGAATCGCACCTTGAAAAGGTCATATTATACCACAAAATCCAAAGGAAAGTCTATTGTTTTTTATGCAAAATATCATGTTATATCCCAAAATCCAAAGAAAAGTGACCATTATTAATGCAAAATGTAACTTTTTAGTTTGAAATCCAATAAAATGGCAAATTTTGTTACACAAAAGGTTGTATTATACCCTAAAATTGAAAGAAAAGCCCAATTTTGTTTTTGCAAAAGGTCGTAGCCAAAGATGAGCCAAATATTTATGCAAAATGTCACGGTATACCCCAAAATCCAATGAAAAGCCACATTTTGTCACACAAAAGGTCATATTATGCCCCAAAATCCAAAGAAAAGCTTATTTTTGCATGCAAAATGTCATGTTATAGCCCAAAATCTACAGAAAAGCAAACATTTTGTAATGCAAAAAATTATTTCACGTACATGGCATTTGCATTATGACGTTTTCGAAACAATTAAGCTGAATGTAACACAAAACTGATTTTAATCAGTTTTTAAATGTGCTCAACTGTCAAAAAAATGAGAGAAAATATGGTAAATGTTGTTTTGTTTTGTTTTTTCAATTTTGAGGTTAATTGTGACCTGGACATGTGATTTTACGAGTGTTTAAGCGGAGATGATCGGTAAGACAGACCTGTGAGGGCATAACCATTCTTTCTTTCCTTGGATCCCATAAAAGGACACTGGATGACATCACTTCCTGTTGTTTAACAGGGACAAACTGACACCCAGCAGTGATGTGAACATATAAAGTGAATCTTTAGGCTGTTTACTCACAGACAGGCGTTCCACACACACACACACACACACTCCAACTAAAGAACAGGTGAGCACACCTGCTGATTGACAGGAGGGGAGAGGCTGTGGGCGGGGTCTCAGTCAGTCACAGGAGTGCATTAAGTCAAAGAGAGTGGGTGTGGTCTTGAACAGCCAGTCAGAGCTGATGATTGGCTGTAAAGACAGTTAGGAGGAATGCGGAGGGCGGGGTCAAAGTAGCATGGGCGGAGTCGGTGTTCTCTGGACCAATCAGATCTGCTCTTTGAAGGCTCCCCGGGCAGCAGAGGAGGCGGCGTTAGCGGTGGCGGTTTGCACCGTTTTGTTGGCCATGACGCCTGTGGCGAACTCCTGCTGCGCCTTCTCGAAACTGGCGCCGGTGGTTCGGTACAGCGCATGAACCTGCAAATAAACACATGCAAGCTTGATTCTACTAACACCTAACCTGGTTAAAATGAAGTCAAATGAGAAAAAAAGGACTAAACTGTAAAACCAGTTAAAACTCCTTCAAACGGACAGATTTTCGTTGTGTTTATGGTTCAGTGTTGTTTTAGTATCATTAATGTGCTATTATAGAATTTATTTTAAATGAGCTTTTATTTTTATATTTTCAGTTTATTTAGCTTTATTTTTTATTTCACTTATAATTGTATTCTTTTTAGTACTTCGACTCATTTCTAATTCTAATTCACATGGACATACAAATAAACACGTTTTACTGGAAATGACTCGTTCTATATATATAGGCACTTATAATAACCAACCTGGTTAAAATGAAATAACAGTAGAAATAAAGTAGTAAACTGTAAAAGCAATTTTCAATGTGTTTGTATTTGTTATGTGCTGTTGTCATTTTTATGTTTTATACATTTAACTTTTTTTCACTTAAACTTATTTTATTTCATTTAGTTAAATTAGTTTTTATATATATATTTTTTTTTTTCAGTTTTCCTTTAAATTATAGTGGGCGTTTTAGTAATTTTGTTATGTGCTTTTGTCAGTTTTAGGGCTTTTTTATATTTCTATTTAACTTTTTGTAAATTTCAGTTTTAGTTCGAGTCATTTTAGAACTTAAACCTATTTCATTTCAGTTTGTTGCAAAGTCACCATTTCTAATTTTCTTTTTCTTTTTTTTTTTCAGTTTGAAGTTTTTCATTTAATATTTATATTTTATTTCAGCTTTATTGCAATGAAAAAAAATACTTTTAAGTGTTAGTTTTAGATAACAACAGTGTTTTGGTTAAGCTCTGAAGTCTATGTAAGAGCATTTGAGGTGAAGCACATATTATATTTATACGTTATGAATTGTTTAAGGTGAAGCACCTTTTTAAACATGATGAGAGAGATGATAGCCGACGCGGTGAAGAGGGCAGCAATCAGGATCATGATGATGCCGACGGGAATACTTGTGTTCAGCCCGGTCAGTGCTGAGATCCAGCCACTACAAACACGAACAATGGATCAGTCTTCATAACGTTCACAATGTTACAATGTAAATGTGATGCAGGAAGGAAAAATCCTGTGAAATGGAAGGAAAGTGAAAGTGTCTGAAGAGTGTCTGTTTTTGTTTTTTACCCTCATAAAAATCAGCATCGAGCAAATGAAATGACAAAATTCATCATAGTGAAAAATTATCACCGACCTAAAAATTTTATTCAAATGTAGCTGTAAATAAGCCACAAAATACATTAATATAATAAACACAAACAAACCATTTTTAACAATTATCCAGTCACTGTTTAATTAAACAGCTCTACACTGTAGTAGATTAATTTTTTTTTATTGTTTTAAGTTTTGAAGCTGCTGGGAGTGCTTTTTACCCACTTTTAGTGATTTTACTTGTTTCTTTTCAATAAAATGTGCATTTAAATTTAGTTACATATTCAACAATCTACAAATTTGGTGTTAGAAGCACTTAAATGCATCATTAAACAGAACAAGAATAGAAAATCTAAAATAAATTATTTATTTTTTAATATTTTAACAAAATGTCAGCTACCACAACTATATTGGTGTCGAGAAACAAGTGGAAAATAACTATATATAATAACTAAACTATAAATAAACAAAATTGTAAAAAGGTTTTAAGAGCTTATCTTTGATTTTAAAAAAACTCACTTCATTAAAAAAAATAAAAAATAAATCACAAATCTTCACCGATTAAGAAAAAACATACATTTAAAATATATAAATGTTAGAATGTAAAAAAAAAATAGACTGAAATGCTTAATAAGGGCAACTTTTTAAATATCTAGGGCATTTTTATCACCTCCAGCTGCGTTTTTGCCCTTTTGCCCAGGTTAATTTATGATTCTTGTGTGTGTGTGTGTGTGTGTGTGTGTGTGTGTGTGTGTGTGTGAATTTTCTTTTTCTTTTTTTTTTTCAGTTTGAAGTTTTTCATTTAATATTTATATTTTATTTCAGCTTTATTGCAATGAAAAAAAATACTTTTAAGTGTTAGTTTTAGATAACAACAGTGTTTTGGTTAAGCTCTGAAGTCTATGTAAGAGCATTTGAGGTGAAGCACATATTATATTTATACGTTATGAATTGTTTAAGGTGAAGCACCTTTTTAAACATGATGAGAGAGATGATAGCCGACGCGGTGAAGAGGGCAGCAATCAGGATCATGATGATGCCGACGGGAATACTTGTGTTCAGCCCGGTCAGTGCTGAGATCCAGCCACTACAAACACGAACAATGGATCAGTCTTCATAACGTTCACAATGTTACAATGTAAATGTGATGCAGGAAGGAAAAATCCTGTGAAATGGAAGGAAAGTGAAAGTGTCTGAAGAGTGTCTGTTTTTGTTTTTTACCCTCATAAAAATCAGCATCGAGCAAATGAAATGACAAAATTCATCATAGTGAAAAATTATCACCGACCTAAAAATTTTATTCAAATGTAGCTGTAAATAAGCCACAAAATACATTAATATAATAAACACAAACAAACCATTTTTAACAATTATCCAGTCACTGTTTAATTAAACAGCTCTACACTGTAGTAGATTAATTTTTTTTTATTGTTTTAAGTTTTGAAGCTGCTGGGAGTGCTTTTTACCCACTTTTAGTGATTTTACTTGTTTCTTTTCAATAAAATGTGCATTTAAATTTAGTTACATATTCAACAATCTACAAATTTGGTGTTAGAAGCACTTAAATGCATCATTAAACAGAACAAGAATAGAAAATCTAAAATAAATTATTTATTTTTTAATATTTTAACAAAATGTCAGCTACCACAACTATATTGGTGTCGAGAAACAAGTGGAAAATAACTATATATAATAACTAAACTATAAATAAACAAAATTGTAAAAAGGTTTTAAGAGCTTATCTTTGATTTAAAAAAAACTCACTTCATTAAAAAAAATAAAAAATAAATCACAAATCTTCACCGATTAAGAAAAAACATACATTTAAAATATATAAATGTTAGAATGTAAAAAAAAAAATAGACTGAAATGCTTAATAAGGGCAACTTTTTAAATATCTAGGGCATTTTTATCACCTCCAGCTGCGTTTTTGCCCTTTTGCCCAGGTTAATTTATGATTCTTGTGTGTGTGTGTGTGTGTGTGTGTGTGTGTGTGTGTGTGAGAGTGAGAGTGTGAGTGTGAGTGAGTGAGTGAGTCCTCACCTGGCTCCCCAACCTGTAATGCCAATGGCTTGCAGCACATGGACACCAAACTGGCAGATATAGATGAAGAAGAATACAAAGAACCTAAAAGAGCTGTCACTCCTACAGAAAGAGAGAAAGAAACAGTTACAGTCTGAGTTCTCCATAAAGGTAGTGAGTGAGTGTGAGAGTGTGAGTGTGAGTGTGAGTGTGTTGCCCAGGTTAATTTATGATTCTTGTGTGTGTGTGTGTGTGTGTGTGTGTGTGTGTGTGTGTGTGTGTGTGTGTGTGAGAGTGAGAGTGTGAGTGTGAGTGAGTGAGTGAGTCCTCACCTGGCTCCCCAACCTGTAATGCCAATGGCTTGCAGCACATGGACACCAAACTGGCAGATATAGATGAAGAAGAATACAAAGAACCTAAAAGAGCTGTCACTCCTACAGAAAGAGAGAAAGAAACAGTTACAGTCTGAGTTCTCCATAAAGGTAGTGAGTGAGAGTGTGAGTGTGAGTGTGAGTGTGAGTGTGTGTGTGTGTGTGTGTGTGTGTGTGTGTGTGTGTACCTGAATGCTCCATACAGAGGTCTGTACCAGCAGACAAATGAACAGGGTGTGAAGAGCATGAACCAGAGCATGGCCAGACCAAAATCCACTCCCCTCGACGCATCTACACAGAACCACGACAAACAGCCAAATATATTGGCAAACAGCGTCCCCGTGTGGACTGCAAGAGAGGAACAGGAGAAAAGAGACAAGGAAGAAACATCACTCATTTGTTGTTCTTATGGAACATAATATGGGGAAAGAAATTTACTATAAAGTATTTCTTTTCAGGAAACTTTAATCAATTTTTTGCACACAACTGTTGAAACTTTGGGAAATTACCTATGAAAACATTGACTAAAACCTTGACTAACAAATTAATTTAAATAAATCCAAAATGCATAATGTGCTTACCGTTTAGCAACCTTCAACAATTTTTTAAATAAAAACTAAAATGATTGTGAAAATGAAAATGACAACTGTAAATAAAAAACTTCCCAGAAATGTACAAGGTGTATGAATGTTTTATCCATGAACCTGTTAATAATTAAAGCAGTCTAAATAGTCACCGTCTCGGTTATATTAACGGAATCATTGCAAAACCTCTTCACAGTCACACAGAAGTTGCTCCATTAATAGTAGAGCTCAAAGCCAGACTGTTCAATCATTTAGATAAGATAAAGCAGAGCCAGAGCGTATTCACATACACACATAACCATCATTCACAGGGAATCCTCTGTTTAGAATGTTACAAAAGATTTCTATTTCAAATAAATGCTGTTGTTTAGAACTTATCAATTTGTTGATCTGTATTTATCAAAGAATTCTGAAAAAATGCATCACAGTTTCCACAAAAATATTCGGGAGAACAATTGTTTTCAACATTGATAATAACCAGAAATGTTTTTTGAGCTGCAAATCAGCATATTAGAATGATTTCTGAAGATCATGTGACACTGAAGACTGGAGTAATGATGCTGAAAATTCAGCTGCGCATCACAGAAATCAATTATATTTTACAACATATTCATATAGAAAACAGCTTTGACATTTTGATCAAATAAATGCAGCCTTGATGAGCAGAAGAGACTTTCAAAATCATTAAAAAATCTTACCAACCCCAAAATTTTGAACAGAAGTGTATATATTACTTAATGTTAGTTCATAGTAATTAATGTAGTTAACTAATGTTAACAATGAGACCTTATTGTAAAGTTCCCGATTATATTATCAATTTAAAAGAGTGTCAATTGAAGATTTCAAGTGTGGTTTCACTGATCTCATCCAGTATGAAACGCACATCAAACAGACCAGCAGTTTCTCTGGGAGGCACAAACACTGCTGAAGTCTATTCATTTCATTTCCCCAGAGTCTTTACACTATTACACAAACCAAAAACCAGACGCGCTTCCCAGACGGACACAGCTGTGTACTCAACACAATAACAACAGTCATGTGAATAAACACTACACTGGATGAGAAGCGCAGCGTCGCGCCACGTCTTTAAAATTCAAATACATTATTTTCTATGAGTGTAGGCACACCGGCGGCGCTGTTCGGTGTCTGTCCGCGGCGCCCAGCTACGCCGTGTTATACTTGTAAGAATTTTTCATAAAATAATACTTCTAATACTATAATACTTCTAATACTAGTAAATAATATTTCTAATCAGTATGTATATATATATATATATATATATATATATATATATATATATATATATATATATATATATATATATATACACACACACACATGTATATGAAGATATTTTGTAAATTTCCTACCGTAAATATATCAAAACTTAACTTAATTGGGACAACATTAAAGGTGATTTTCTCAATACTTAGATTTTTTTTGCTCCCCCAGATTTTCAAATAGTTGTATCTCGACCAAATACTGTCCTGTCCTAACAAACCATACATCAATGGAAAGCTTATTTATTCAGCTTTGATATGGTGTATAAATCTCAATTTCGAAAAATTGACCCATATGACTGATATATATATACACACACACACACACACACACACACACACACACTGTAAAAGTATATACTGTATACTTTTTACGTGGTTCATGTGTAATTTTTTTTAATTAATAAAAAAGGTCTAAATGCAAAAATACTATGGCAACATTCAAAACTTAAAAATATATAGCTTACAAATTTATCTACTGTACAGTAGGTTTAAAATATGATGTCTCTTTTTTTCAATTATTTTTCGGCTTCAAACAGACCTGGAAGATGAACATATGAGGATTACACTGACTTACTCTACAGTTTTATAGCATTTCTTTCAAGAAAGAGCATTTACAATATTAGTCAAGGTTTCTAATTTAGCATTTAGGATGAACATTTTCTACCTTTGACCTACAGTATAGAATTAAACAGGCTGTATTTGTAACTGTACTTTTAAGACTCCTACTGCATATGTAAATGACCTCTGAGTCCGTTGTGATTGGCTGGCCTTCACAGACAGTATGTTTGGTTACTGTTTTTGGACTGTTGGCATTATGGGATTGGTCAAGAGTTACTCACACATCCACAGATAGTACATGATCTTGACGGTTTTCTGGTACTCCACAGGGATGTCCACTGATATGTCATGATAGAAACACGGACCCACCGGAAACTTCTCTGGAAGAGGCGGCCAGTTGTTTTTCCTCCCTTAGAAACAAGAAGCAAACAGGAAAATCAATCAAAAGTGGAAAGAAAGAGGTGGATGATGCAATAGGAGCATGATGACAAAAGGTGGTAAACTGGGGTACAGGACTGGGAAACAGAACAGTAATTGTTTTTCCTCTGCTCCTGGTGCACAGAGACAGTAAATCACACTAAATCTAAAGTTGATTGCGTGAGATGACAAGCATAATACGGTCTCAACCACAGAACAAATGTCTACAGATCAGCTGATGCATATTGCACACAAAAATGGCTACAACTGACTGAAATTTTAATTCATCATTGTCATGAAGAATTTATTTCAGTTCTCATTCTCAATTTCATAATACTTATATATAATTTTACATATTAAATCAAAAAGTTTTTTATAATTTTACCTACACTTTTTTTTTTTATAAGAAGCATCACTTCCACTACAATTTAAGTAATGATATAAATTCAAATAAATTTAAGATCTTTATACATAACTGAAAATACCAACTTTGAGCAATCATGAGTTATAAATTCAAAGGAACTGAATTAAATTCCATTCATTCTAGTGGTCGACCGATATATCGCCAATGCCGATATATCGGCCGATATTTGGCATTTTTCAAATATCGGCATCGGCCGATACATTTTTCTGCCTGGCCGATGTGTTCGATTGTATTTTGACGGTGCTGAGAACGGCAACGCCTGAGCACACAGTGCTCACATTCTCCCTCTTCATTGTTTGTTGTCATTGTTTAACAGTTCTGCCTAATACAGATAGAAGTCTGTCTAATAATCAGATAGAACTGTTGAACGAATGAATTAAAAGGTATACAAAAAGTATTATAACGATTGCTTTTATATTATTAGTAACAGAAAGACAGACATAACACTTTCTCGTTTGCCGTCAGCATTCAGCAAATACGCATATCATTTAAACAAACCTTTAAATGACTAATGAACATTTAATTTCACAAACCTTGCAGACTTAGTCGAATCCAGCTGTGAGATCTTGTGAAGGATGCATTTGTATATTGCCTGATCGTGTGTGCTCTGCGTGACAGTCGACCCGTGCGAATTGAATCCGGACAGGAGGAGAGTTCAGCTTCACTGGAGACGCGTGATCAACTTTAAACTCGTTATTTCAAACTATGCTGATTTATGCATTTGCACACTGTCATATTCATGTCATTTTTACTACGTGCTGCATGTAAAACGAGTGTTACCTTGGCTTTAGTTGAAAAAATATGATTCCCAAAGCACAAAAACTTCCCAGATTACCAAGTGCCCTGCTGGTTACAGTGTTTACTTTCTTTTTGTTTATATATTTTAAAATATTTATTTATTTGTGAAAAATACTGTAATAGAATTATAGAATCAGGAAGTCATCTAAAGTATAACTATGTTTATTTTACACATTTATTTTTAATATAATTAATTTTCAAATTATTTCAAGTTTCTCAAACATTAATTCATAAATAAAACTTATAATTAAAATAAAAAATATACTTGTATATATCAGCCATCGGCCACCCTGCTCTCTAAGATATCGGCAGTCAAAAAACCAATATCGGTCGACCACTAATTTGTTCCAAAGAAGGCGTTAATATGGGTAATTCTCACATTCTGTGTTCTTATAAATGTCATACAATAATAGCAGCCCTGGTCTATATGTAGCATGCTTTTTTGTGGTTCATGTGTAATTTGAAGTTTCAAAGAATTTCTGATTTTTTTTAATTAATAAAAAGGGGTAACTGCAGTAATAACATGGTAACAATATGGTAACATTCAAAATTCTTGAATTTTTTTAATTTGCCTACCTTTTTTCATAATAAGCATCACGTCCACTACTAAATTTAATCTATACAAAAGAATTTAAAGCCTTTTATAAAAAATGAAAATCACACCTTTTATTGATTAATAAATTAAACATATTCTTCAATTCTTAATTTTGAGTTATATATTTGCTTATCACCGTATTTTTTAAACTCCTTTTTAATTTGCAAAAGTACCCATTTCTTATTCCTCGTCAACGGTTTCAGTTTTTCCACTATTTATGATTTCAAAATGATCAATAAAACCTTCTCATTACATACAGTTTTTTCAAGTTATATATGCATCAGCTTTAATGCACTTACCAAAAAACAAAAGCAGTCAGATGTTAAAAGTTTCAGTTTTATTGACAAACAAGTATTCAAAATTATGATTTAATTTACAATCTGCAAAGTAGTGGAAAGAGTGTAAAAAAGGATTAGGTATACAATAATGTAATGCACGTGAAAATAGACTGAGAATTGACCAAATGGTTGTAATCTGGCTCCGATTCAGACAGGAATCATGACCTTGTGGTGTTTTTCTGCTGATTAAGGGAGAATACAAGACTTTTTGATCTTACAAATGGTCATCAAAAGCAAAAATGCTACACAATGCATCCTACTTTGTGCTAAAGTTTGATGTGTTTGAGCAAAACAGGCACTATTTTGAAACCAGCACCTTAAAATTAGTAAGAAACACATTGGATTTAATTTACCAAATATGATGCATGGTGATGTAATCTGTACACTTTGTGAGTTTTCTACACAATTTTGGTCAGAATAAGCTACAATGTGGATGGAATTTTATGCTGAAGTCTTAATAAATGAGACTAACCGGTTCCATTTGTTGTGTAAAAAGACTTAACTGTGGTAGGTGACTTTACATGTCAGTACCTTCCTGTCTGTGTGGGCGGTTTCTGACCAGAATAAGCGATGCAGCATAGACAGGCTTGACGCGAGGCTAATAACTCACCTCCTGATGCGCTGAGAGACTGCATCTCCCTCTCCCTGCGGTCCAGCTCAGCGGCTTTTCTCTCCAGCTCCTCCTGTCTCCTCAATAACTCCGTCTGGGCTCGCACCTGATCCTACACACACAGACACAAGGTGGTTATGAACACAAAGTAATTCTGCTTACAGGCACAGCAGAACATAACTTTAGGAGAGTCAACATCCAAACACACCAAAGGCATTTTCTGGAGACACAGCTGTCAGAACCAATCACAAACACGTCTGAAACTGTCTGACAGACAATGCAAGTCTTGTCTTGTTTATTCACCGCATATCTTATCTGGCGTGTCGTTATACACTGTAAATTTGAATATGACTACCTATATGATAACTGATTATGGCTTATGTAAGGCTTATGTATGAGAATGTAAAGCTATACTACCATTCAAGACATCTCTTCTGCTCACCAAGGCTGCATTTATTTGATCAAAAACACAGTAAATCAGTAATATTGTGAAATATTACCATTTAAAATAACTGTTTTCTATCTGAATATACTGTCAAATGTAATTTATTCCTGTGATGCGCAGCTGAATTTTCAGCATCATTCCTCCAGTCTTCAGTGTCACACGATCCTTCAGAAATCATTCTAATATGCTGATTTGCTGCTCAAGAAACATTTCTGATTATTATCAGTGTTGAAAACTTGTGATGCTTCATATTTTGTGGAAACTGAGATACATTTAATTTTTCATGATTCTTTGATAAACAGAAAGCTCAATAGTACAGTATTTATTTGAAATAGAAATGTTTTGTAACATTATAATTGTCTTTACTGTCACTTTTAATTAATTTAATGCATCCTTGCTTAATAAACAGTATTAATTTCTTTAAAAACAAAACATCCTCAAACTTTTTAACAGTAGTGTACTTAAGTGTACATATGCACAAGTATATACTAGAGGATTTTAGTACAAAGTAAATACTAAAATAAAAAATATTTAAAAAGTCATTTTTTTTTATTACACTATATATAAAATGTATATAATATAAATTCCTAAATATAAAATATAACATAATATCATATAATACAATATAATATAATAGATCTTGCCAAGACAGAACTGCTTGTGGTTCCATCAAACCCATCGTTTCATCACAATTTCACCATCCAGTTAGGCACATCAACCATAACTCCTTCAAAAACAGCCAGAAACCTTGGAGTTATGATTAATGATCGGCTGACTTTCTCGGACCACATTGCTAAAACTGCCCGGTTCTGCAGATTTGCTTTATTCAACATCAAGAAGATCAGACCCTTTCTTTGGGAACATGCTTCACAACTCCTTGTTCAAGCTCTTGTTCTGTCCAGGCTGGACTATTGCAATGCTCTCTTGGCAGGTCTTCCAGCCAGTTCTATCAAACCTTTACAATTAATCCAGAACACAACAGCAAGATTAATTTTTAATGAGCCGAAAAGAATACACGTCACACCTCTGTTTATCAGTTTGCACTGGCTACCAATAGCTGCTCGCATTAAATTCAACGCATTAATGTTTGCCTACAAAACCACCACTGGCTCTGCACCCCTTTACCTAAATTCATTACTTCAGACTTATGTGCCTCTAGAAGCTTGCGTTCTGCAAGTGAACGGCGTATTATTGTGCCATCTCAAAGAAGCACAAAATCACTTTCACTGACTTTTTCATTAAATGTTCCCTCCTGGTGGAATGACCTGCCCAACTCAATCCCAGCAGCTGAGTCCTTAGCCATCTTCAAGAAACCACTAAAAACACATCTCTTACATCTTTATTTGACCCTCTAACTCTAGCACTCTCTATTCTAATTCTATTCTTAAAAAAATAATTTAAAAAACCTTGTCCCTTTTAGACTTGCACTCTATTTATTTACTAACTGCTTATTTTCTTTAAAAAAACTAACACTTGCTTTTCTAATCTTTTTGCATTCTATCTATTTGTTTTCTTTTTATTTATTATACAATTAACTAAAGCAAAAAAGGCCTCTAACACTAGCTTGCTCTATTCTATCTGTTTTATTTTTTATTTATTATATGATTAAAAAAAACCTTGCTATGTGTACTGCATTAAGCTAACTGAGACTTGTTATAGCACTTGCGTATCATTGCTCTTTTGTTGATTTTGATTGCTTCTATTGTCCTCATTTGTAAGTTGCTTCGGATAAAAACGTCTGCTAAATGACTAAATGTAAATAAATAAAGAACTATATTATACAATAAAGAATTATTTCATTTACTATATTCATATATAATATATTATATATATATATAATAAATATAACATATTGATTGATTAAACAAGAGAAAAACGCAATTTTTTATTATTTAACGCATATCTGCTCAGTACAATAACACACTACAACATCATATTCCCTATTATCTTACAAAAAACAGTAAAACATTACCAAATATAATCAAGAGTCATGATATAAAAACACCCAACATCAAAAACAAGCTCTTCTATAAAACCACAATTGCTGAATCCAAGTGATGAAATCTAAAAGTTTTGATCCGTCACTCACCTGTAAGGATTACTTTATAGAGTCGGATACAATATCGCAAGTAAGGAACTAAACCGCTGGTGAGATTAACTTGACTTTTAGCTGGTCATAAATATGAACGCTACAGTGATAGAGAACTTTCCAAGCTTTTACTTCCATAAACTGAACTGGTTGTAGTGTAAATACTGTGTGGGATGTGTGAGTTCATTGTTTGCCCTCCATACTGTTTAGCAAACACACACAGTAGAGTTTGAAAATGAGTTTTAAAGCACTTTTGCATGAATGATCATGAGCACTTTTGCATGAATGAATACTGCTGAAAAGACGCTTTGACCAAAAATAAAGTCCCGACTGCACCGGACCTCATAGCAGCTCATCCTGCACTCATTACAGTAGCGTCCCAGTTATGACAGATTATAATTTTAAGAATCACTCTTATCTAAGCTAATCTGTTGACGCATTCTGCCCTTGTTTCTGGGTCTGTCTGTTTAGGATATTTCACCCAGATATTTTTTTACACAATTTTCACACACCTGTATAAAGGTTTTCAGTTTACTTTTACTAAGAAGGTTTTAATTTGATTGTCTAACTTTATGCATCTTTTGCTTTTTACGTAGAAACCTGAAAGTCAACCTGGTACTTTTTAATAGTGTTAATTTTATTAACAAAAACGAAAATGAAAACATTTGCTGATGACATTTTTTTTCCATGAGTAACATGAGACGAAGACAACACCAGCATCATTAATTAAACACTTTGTTTTTCCATGTGTTTAACCGCACAGACAGAATACCTATACACACTTTTATTGCTGCAACAATAAAAACATGCACTGTTATTATTATAAATAATGATCATTTGTCAGGTATTGCCAGTATACAGTAGAACACACAATTTGAAATAGTGTATCACACAATGCAATGCACCTGACTTGACCCAACTTCAGTGTGACAAATGAACCGGAATCTCCTTCTGACGCAGTACTCGGCCTGGCAAATGTTAAGTCATCACTGGAAGAAAAATCCTGTATGCCTCTCACTATATTCATTCAGGCTTATACTGTTTCAAACATTTATCCTTTCATAGCCTACTACTTTTTACATTAGGTAGTTCTGATGCACACTAGTATTCATTCCAAACACACAGCAGGAAAGATCCTTTATAAAACTCCTGTGTTTCTGGATAAAGATAGTTGACTATTCCCTCACTGACTAAACCAGTTCATTTAACACACAAGGTCCAAAGAATGTTAACTACACCACACACACACACACACACACTAAACCGTCCCTTGTTTCCATAGCAGCCCCAGTGCAGCGCTCAGGTCCTGAGGCGGATCCGTTTCATATGGCTGACGGACTGTCAGGACTCCAGAGCCATGAATATTTCAGACACATATTCACACACATACATACACATTTGTACTAGCAGGAAGACACCGTCTTTGTCTTCAGTATTGTTATCATATACACACTATGAGATAGTAATGTCTGATGTCACACTCTGTGATCACCTGACATGGACGCATGTCTGTATCTCCAAACCTAGTGAACTGCCTACCTAGAAAGCATTTTTAGGCATTATAGGTGTGTCTAAACATTCAGAAGCACACAATAATATTATCTATGTAAGCAGCACACTAACGCTTTATCTCAATTTGCATAGTTCACCCAAAAATGTAAATTTGCTGAAAATGTACTCAACCCTTAGTCCAGTAGTGGGTGAATGGGTGCCGTCAGAATGAGAGTCAAAACAGCTGATAAAAACATCACAATAATCCACAAGTAATCCACACCACTCCAGTCCATCAATTAACATCATGTGAAGTGAAAAACTGTGTTTTTGCAAGAAACAATCTGTTGCTTCCAGCTAAAATATGAGTTCTCTATTCTTAATACTGTTTTCCAACATGAACATGGTGTCTGGTCTGAATCAGGAGAGAAATCTGCACAGATCACACACTGTTTGCAAGCCAAAACAGCTCTTAACACATATGTAGGTGGATTTTGATGTAAGAGGACAACAGGAGATGGACTTTTTCACAGGAGGAAGCGTTATTATGGACTGTTAAAACATCTTAATGATGGATTAATTTCTTAAAAAATCTTACAGCTTTTGGTTTCACAAGATGTTAACTGCTGAACTGGAGTGGTGTGGATTATTGTGATGTTTTTATCAGCTGTTTGGACTCTCATTCTGACGGCACCCATTCACTGCAGAGCATCCACTGGTGAGCAAGTGATGGAATGCTATATTTCTCAAAATCTGATGAAGAAACAAACCCATCTACATCTTGGATGACCTGAGGATGAGCACATTTTTAGCAAAGTTTCATTTTGGGTGAACTATTCCTTTAAGTGTGAGCCACTTGTTTACCTGAGTGTATGATACATCCTGTTGAGGATGTACTGTAACATGTAACCCCAAATGTGAAGATAAAGTACAGAAACAACCATTTACATCACATATGTCCTTGTGAATCACTATATTGGGGCTGTGCGCATTCGGTGACCCGATTCTAAAGCGGGAAACTCAACCCAAGCAGTGCGTTTGGGTTTGACCTCCTTCAGCACTGCATTTCTTCATGACTACAGATGAT